AGAGTCATCATGACTTTGCCCAATCATGGCTCTAAATGTGTACTGAGCCCTGATTGGCACAGTCTTGCACCTGACCCACGGTCAGGTGCAAGACTGTAGCCAATTACAGTTTCGGAGGGCCCAGTGCATTGTGGGATGTTCCGCGGTCGAACAGACAGCAAACATCCCGCAATGTTCGGCGTTCAGCGAACGCTAGAACAGGCTATGTTCGATTCGAACATGCAGCCCATCCCTAGTAAGCAGCCGGGACAAAAGCCAGACTGCTATTGGCTATTTTGATTTGAAACACCAGCAGCTGACCAGAGGAGCGGACCTGAGAGAGAAAGTTGTCTCATAGTATCGCTCCTCTTCTCAGTAGGTAGGTGCAATAGCCACTCTACTATTGGCTTTTACAATTTGAAATGGGAGGGGGGGCACCATGGGGGGCGATGTGGGTGAGTGGTCGAGGCTGAGCCCTAGGCAGCAATGCGCCCTAGGCGGCTGCCTAGTTTGCCTAGTGGCAGCGCCGGCCATGTCAACACGCATAGGAGGCACAGAGAGGCTGCAGATGTATGGTTTGCCTGAAAGGCCCAACTCCCTCCGTACCTGCCTTTTGATGGATATTCCTAATCCAACATGCAATGCATCATGGGATGTGTGGTCCTGCCAGTGGGCATGGGGAAAACATTTTGTGCACACTACCCTACTAGAAGTAAAGGGAAGCGCAGCACCACAAGAGGCGATAGTATAACATTTCAGAGAGGTAAATGCAACATTTACAAGTGAAGTATCTGAAAAGTAATTGAATTATTTACAATGGCATTCAAGTAAAGAAAAACGTTTTATTTTTTTACCAAGGCGTTAATACCACTTTAAAGATGAACTCAGGACACAAGAATGTTCATTTTAATATATTAATCAGTAGTAACAAAGGATAGAAATCCATTGTGTGTGCACCAAATGCCTTTGCAAACACATGAATTATCATGTAAAATAGCTGTCAGGAACCAGATCTGAACCCGGGGCCTCTGCTGTAGCTGGCGGTGGTTCTACCTGCTGAGCCACCTTAGAACCTTGGATAACTCCTTGCCTGATCTCCTGTGTAATCCTCAGTTAAAGGAGAACTATGGGGTTAAGGCTTTTCCCCATAGTTCTCCTTAGGGCAGGGGTGGCAAACTCCGGCCCTCCATCTGTTGTGGAACTACAAGTGCCTTGAGGCTTTGCAAGATTCTCACGGGCATGACTCGCAGAGGCAGATGCATCATGGGATTTGTAGTTTCACCACAGCTGGAGGGCCAGAGTTTGCCACCCCTGCCTTAGGGTAACACACAAACTAGCGTCCTCCCGTCACCCTAGGCTCAGTATACCGCGAGCTGTAGCTCGCGGTATACTGAGACGCCGCAGTATGCCACGAGCTGCTGCTCGCGGTATACTAAGACGCCGCAGCTGAAGAGGATCCCGACAATTATGTCTGGATCCGCCCAGCTGCGTGACTGACAGCTGGCTCTGCCTATCTAGAGGCAGAGAAGAGCACTGGATTGCTCATGAGATTTATTGATATGCTTTTTAGATTCATTGGTTTTAAAGTATTTATATGATCATTATGACCATCACTATGATAGATGTGTGTTCAATTCAAGGATCCTGTGTATATTTGTCATCAAGATGTATCTCTATGAGGTTTAAGGTTATGACAATACGTTTAGGGATCATTATGGTGACTCAGGAGATCCCTCTAGGTATTGTAGCCTTCAGAAAGATGTGTCCTTACAGAATAATAGCCTTTGGTCTCGTCTTGCTATCATCCCGGCTGTAAAATAGGGTTATATCTATACGTGTCATTTGGCGGCAGCCCGACAGAGACACAGATAATACGAACACTCCACTCAGTTTTCCGTAGCTCTCATTGGCCGGGAGACCGAAGTAACAGGCCACTGAAAAAGTCCATATTCTAATGAGGCTAATGCAGCCCGCCTACTCCCCACTCGGACCTCGCCCATCCATTCTATTGAGCCGCACCCTATCAGGAGCTATGTCTCCCTTTATAAAATCTAAGCGGGGACGAGACCAAGGCTATGTCCTGACGAAGGGGGCGTGCCCCGGAAACGCGTCGACACGCTGGTATACCAAACTGCACACAGGACACTTCTGACTGACTGCCACTGCACCAGTTTGGCTCCCGTTCTTATATTGTGTCCAATGCGTGTGATCCTTCCACTCTTGTGAGTATCCATTTTTAAGATTTCATCTTATTTCTCATTGAAAAATAAAATTTATCTGCACTAGGAGAAGGCGCCCCTCTCGTTTTTATTTTGTAGTGTCTCCTGTTACATACCTGATACCTTTTGGCTCCTGACCTCGGCTTGGGCTCCTGACCTCGGCTTGTTCACTGACTACGCTTCTGCCTGCTCCCATACTACTACCGTCTGCTTGTGTACCAAACCCGGCCTGTTATACCACGAATTGCCTGCTGTTTCAGCTACTGGACTCTGAGCCTGATCCCAGATCGTGACAGTAGCAGTGACATTACTACTGTGCTGTACGTAGCCTGTGCCGAGAGCAGAGCTGTGAGAGAGGCCCAGCAAGCTCCACAAACTAGAGGCTGTCTGCAAAAAACGACAGGAGTGGGCGGAGACAAGACCAGTCACTGCGCAAGGAGAGCAGCCGTGATGGGTCTTTATTTGTCACAATATCCGGAAATCCATGCCGGATTTTCGCTTTGCTCCCTGTTTCTGGGCTGTCAGCCTATGGTGTCTCACAAGGCTGCAGCCAATCTGCTCTCCTTCTCCCCTATTTAGGACTTCCTCACTTGTTGCTCTTGGTGCGAGCAACAAGTCTTATGCCTTGTTCCGTACCCCTTGTGTCTCTGACTACCCCAGGGATCCTATTCCCTGTGCTTGCTATTGGATCTCTGTGCCTTTTGGCTTCCCTCTACCAGCTGGTATCCCTGTTTGGCGTTATCCCCTGCTTTGCTCCTTGCGCCCCTAGTATGCTATTTCAGTGGTTCCTTTAGTATATTGTTGCAGGCCTTAATTGCCTTCACCTGTGCGCCTCTCCAAACTGCCTTCATTGCCTTACTTCTACTGTGTTTTCCCTCTCCAGTCTTTGTCTGTTTGCTTCCTCCTATTTACTGCTTGTTGTACTTCTACTCCGTCACTTACCTTCCAGTGTATCTTCCTTTGCTTTGCTGTCACCCCTTTATTTCTGTGCTCCTCTCTTACCTGGTGGCTGTGTTGGATTCATCCTTGTCTGCACACCCCTGTGTGCATACATCCCTTTTGTGCTTCTTTGTGTACTTTTCTCTCTGTTATCCTGCTTCTTTGTATGCATGTGCCACGCACATCTCGTTTACTTTTGTACGTTGCACCTTCCTGCTCCTAGGTGTGCCTCTAAGCTGCTTACCCTTCCCTGGTGTCCTTGCTTATCTATTCTCTTCAGTATACTCTGCTGTGTGTTTGCACTTTTGCTTGAGACTTTCTCTCTCTCCCTCTCCCTCTCCCTCTTTCTCTTTCTGTCTTGCCTTGGTTACAAGTTTCTTCCCTACCTGTTTGTATCCAGTTCCCCGCTGCTTCAACTAGTCCCTTGCGTCTGTGGGTGCGCTAGAGGGCCGCAACCTGGAAGGTGTCCAGCAGCCAATCATCCTCACCACTAGAGGCTCTGTCGAATAGCTGGCCCTTCTTAGATTCTGCGCCTCTAGTGCGTCCTCAGAACGCACAGACCATTCGTTCCTCTCTCCCTGTGACCTACATCCCCGATATCCCACCTCTTTGTGATTCCTACCAACTCCGCAAACACTGGAGCTCACGTACCCTAGTGCCCTGGTCCCTAGACCGTGACATTATTACAAGAAGCCACACAGGAGACGATTTTTACAATGGTTTACTGCATAGATCTGACATGGCCCTAAGGCCCCATTCCCACTTGTGGATCGGGCTGATTCCGCAAGTCTCACAAATTGCTCAGTGAGACTCATGTGAACTACTACAGACAGTAAGTGCCGCAATCTGCAATTTTTAACAATTTTTTTTTAAGGTTATGCTATGTGATAAATATAAAGTAGGTGTTATCCCAATTTGGCTACAATACACTTTAACCTGTTGCTGTCCGCCTGTTGCAAAAAAAACGGACGGCGGACTCGCATTTTGTGGGTTGCCATCTCCAGACTGCATTTTCTTTTCTGCTCGCGCGCGCCCCCTAGCGCACGGGCAGAAAAAGCCCGTTCAATGCAAAGAGCCGTTACCGGCTGTTTCACATACACACGATCGGCGGCTCTATAGCCTACAGTAATAGCAATGACATTAAGTATATAAAAACATAAAGAGTGAAAAAATAAATAAAAGTCAAATATAAAAAATGTTTTTTTTTAAAAACCCAAATTTTTAAGTCCCCTACCCCCACATTTACGCACATATAAACGTAAATACGCGTTCACGGCGCCAGCATGCGAAAATTACAATTGCGCTACACATGTTACATATCGTCGCGAACGTAGGGAGTGAGAGCAATAATTTCAGGGCCATCAATCACTGATAACACTAAACTGATGAGCGGTAAAAGCTTTTAAAGCGTCGCCTATGGACAATTTTGGGAATTGTAGTTTTTTGAGGTTTCGCGCGCACGCGCAATTTTAAGGCTTGCCATGTTTGGTGTGTTTTTACCCGACGTGACCCCATCTTTTATATTTTACCAAAAAATTGGGTTATAACAAATGTTTTATAATTTAATATTAGGGGAAACAGTTTTGTTTTTTTTTTTAATTCGGTACTTTTCCCTTAATATAGTAAAAAATAAAAGCCCCAGTGTTGATTAAATACCACCAAAAGAAAGCTCTATCTGTCCCCAAAAAAGGGTATAAAATTAATTTCAGTACAGCGCTGCATGACGGAATAAACGTCAATCAAAGTACCGCAGCGCTGAACACTGAAAAATGGCCTGGATGGGAAGGGGGTTTAACACCGCGGACTTGAAGTGGTTAAAAAAATAGTAAACCGAGAACTTTTTTTCAATAATGAATCCAGATCAAACAAATATACATTGCTTATTAAAGTACCGTATTTTGCGGTCCATAAGACGCACCGGACCATGGAGCACTCGACAGACTGTAGCTTCTGTCACAGCTTCTATGACAGAAGCTGCAGTTAGTGACCGCTGAGACAGGTGGCGCTGTGATTACAGCGCCACGGTCTCAGTGATCACACAGAGCAGACGAAGAAAGTCCATTCTTCGTCTGCTCTATGGTGATCTCGATCGTCGCCGCTGCTCGGTTTTAATACAAGTGATCTCATTAGATCACTCGTATTAAACGAGCAGTGGCTCCTAATACTTGGCCGGCGCCCGAAACTGCATGTCTCGGGCGTCGGGATTCGCTCCATAAGACGCAGGCACATTTTCCCCCTCCTTTTGGGGGGAAAAAAGTGCGTCTTATGGAGCTAAAAATAGAGTATTTCTTTTCCATTTTGCCCAAACACTTCCAGTCATCATGTTTCCAAACAGGTCCAACTCTTTCAGCTCTACTTCTCTGAACTTCCTGTCCAGTACACGATAACAAGGGACAGAGCAGTCTGCAGCAGCTGTCCATCTAGCAGCTTAGGGAAAGGAGAAGAGGCGAGTGTCTTGCCTTGCTGTGCCTGTGCGATTGTAGGGAGACACACACATCGGTGGCTATATAGGGCACTGCAAGGGAAAGGAGCCGCCCTAAAACAGGATATCAGGGCCAGTGCTCAGGGGACCAGCTGATTCTGCAGAAAACTAAAATGTTTAAACATCTAAAAGCAGCATCCATTGCAAGTGATGTAATCATAATTTGAAATAGGATAAGAACTTTTTGACTTTAATATCACTTTAAGTATGACAATGACTCTGCTGGGTTGTAATAGAAATCACATACTTTACTACACCAGAAAAATGAAAAGAAGGCAAGAAAATGTCACAAAGATACTTGGGGCTAAAACTGGTGAACACATTCCTCAATCGGCAGCAAGTCCCGCAGAATACAGTGTCCCCCTATATTGACCACTAAGGACAATGACAGAGGTTTGGATACACGTCTTCTGCAAAGACCCCTATATTGACCGGCGCACATTGTGGCGCTCCACATACCTCTATGTCACTCTTGTAGACGGCTTGGAGCTTTCGAGGAAAGACAACTTCATATTTCTGCTCTTCGGAATGCTGATTATACCCTGGAAGGGAAACAAACAAATGTACCCCCTAAGTATGAGGTAACCTTGACTAGTACAACTTAGAACATAGCTGAAAGGAGAACTATGAGGTGAGTGCTTTTCACTCACCTCATAGTTCTAGCCGACCTGTGACAATGAGACTGTCACAGGTCGGCTCAGTAGATCGGGAGGTGAGCGAACACATACCGGCGTTCGCTCACCTCTCGATCCTGTCACGGCTCTCTGCCGTGACAGGGGAGGGGCTGGATTCCCCCCTCCCCGCTCCGATCCGCCAGCGCTGACTGGCGGAACGGACGGGGGAGGGGGCGGGTACAGCTGGCTCTGCCTCTAGATAGGCAGAGCCAGCTGTCAGTCACGCAGCTGGGCGGATCCCGGCACAATTGTCGGGATCTGCTTCAGCTGCGGCGTCTCAGTATACCTCGCGGTATACTGAGCCTAGGGTGAGGGGAGGACGCTAGTTTGTGTCCTCCCTTTACCCTAAGGAGAACTATGGGGAAAAGCCTTAACCCCATAGTTCTCCTTTAAAATCCAACTCTGGTCTGAACTTTTATTTTCTGAAAGGTCTTCAATGCTCTGGACCTGTACCTCACACAGGGATACAAACCTGAAATAAGTAATTACAGGGAGGTGCCTAATGCTTCCTTTGCTATCTGCTATTTTTTTTTTTTTTGTGTTCTGACAGCTGCTGCCGTCAGAACAACAACAAAGAAAAAAAAACGCATAGGAATGCATAGCAAGATTGCTATTGGCTATTTCAATGTGCTATAGCCAATAGCAAGCTGGCTATTGCACCCGCCCTCTGCTGCTGTCAGTCAGCAGAGGTGAACCTGGTGGAGAACTTCAGGTCCACCTCTGCTGATTGACAGCAGCAGAGGGCGAGGGCGGGTGCAATAGCTAGTCTGCTATTGCAAATTGAAATAGCCAATAGCAATCTATTTATGCATTCCTATGCCCTTTTTTTTTCTGACTGACGGCGGCCCATGTCAGAAACAAAAAACAGACAGCACGGAAAGGTTTGCTCTGCTAGATCGAGCAGAATAAACCTTTCCAGGAGAAAATGTTTCTCTCCCGGGTGTCCAGGAGCTGCTATCTAATAGCGGGAGACTCCCGAAACATCCGGGAGAGTTAAGATGTCTGCTCACAGTACCTCTTTACCACAGGATGTCCTCAGTCTTCCAGGTTAAATGAAGCGCAGCTCAACCCAGAAGATGCAGCACATATTGCGAGTGCAGGGTGTCTTTGCCCCATCCCCTGAGGAGATGTCACCACAGCCCCATTCCCAGTTTACTGGTGGAGAGAGCAGCGCTGGCATCAATACTTGTCATTGGCCACCAGGACAAACAGAGGGGTAATTTTCCTTAGCGGGTAATCACACAGCAATAAAAACCTGATAAAAGCTCTAACCCATCCATACGTTTTCCAAAAACGATATAAAAAATGTTTTGCTGCTTTCCCTTTACATGCACTTTAACTTTTTCGCTGCCAGCAACATATGCCTTACGTCGCTGGCAGCGGGCCCCTGTAAGCAGATAATCTCAGAGTCTGTTTACCTCTGTAAAGCCGACTGTCAGCTTTACACTGGAAACAATTCTGATTCCAGCTTCTAGAGCCACTACCAGGGACTGGAAAACTGAGCCCCCCTGTCTGACACCCCACACCTTGCTTCCCGGGCTCTGCTGCCCCTTCTGTGGGCCCGGGACTGGCTTCTTGGGTGTTGGTGGGAAGCAGGTCGGTTTGCTGATCTCCCCGCTGAAAGAAGCTGAAAGCGATGCTGATTGCATCACTTCCGGCTTCAGAGCTGTCATTCACCGGCTACAGAAGCGGGGAAGAAGCGAATCAAGCGCAATCAGTGTTTGATCAGTTTTTTTGAAGTGCAAAAGAGACCTTAGGGTTCTACAAAGGAATTTATGTATGCCCGAATATAGTTTTCGTATATTCGGGTATATAATAAATTTATTTCGGATTCGGATGAACTGTCGAATCAACTGAATTTCCTTGATTTGCAGGTTCGTCTGAATCCAAATGCACATTTCTAGTCGTCTCTGTGCCCAGCAGCTACCTGCACATTGCTGGACTCCCCCCTCTCCACAGGCAAGCTGCGTGTGTGATAGAGCTTTTAGAAACATGCTGTCAGATGTTTGTAGTTTGGGAGCAGCATTTTTTACCGCCCCCCAGGAAAGTGCTGCCCTAGGCAAATGCCTCACGGTAAATACACCCCCATTCCTACGAATGCACACATACTAATTACAAACGCGCTTCGGGTGCACCTATGTAAGAAAACGATGGTTGTGCCACACATGTTAGGTAGTGCCATGTGCGCCAGAGTGAGAGCGATAATTCTAGGGCCGATATTCACAGATAACTCTAAACTGATGACTTGTTTTAGGGCTTTAGGACCCTCAAGTCTCAGATCGAAAGTAACCAGACGACAAACGCTTATGAAAAATTATTTTGTTTGCTTGACTTACCCAGACTCGGGATTAACAGGGTGAGAAGAACGAGAGGGATCATTGTTTTCTGATTCTGCAAAAAAGACAAACAACATCATATATATATATATATATATATATCAACCTTTTGGACCCCTTACAGTCCGGCTTTCACCCCGTATCATCCTTGACTCGGACCTCACCTTTCTTCCCCACATCCAATCACTATCAACTTCGCAGCATCTCCAAAATACCCCCCTTCCCCACCAAAGAAACCGCAAAATTACTCATTCAATCCCTTGTTATCTCTCGTCTTGACTTTTGCAACTCCCTCCTCATTGGCCTACCACTGCACAGTCTATCATGAATGCAGCTGCTAGACTCATTCACCTAACCAACCGCTCAGTGTCTACAACCCCCCTCTGCCGATCCCTACAGTGGCTTCCAATAGCCCAAAGGATACAATTTAAAATATTAACAATCACTTACAAAGCCATTCACAACTCTCCCCCCGGATATATCTTCAACCTGGTCTCAAAGTATCACCCTAACCGCCCCCTCCGCTTTTCCAATGACCTACTGCTTTGCAGCTCCCTCTTCAACTCCTCCCATGCTCGCCTCTGGGACTTCACTAGAGTCTCTCCCATCCTCTGGAACTCTTTACCCCAACCTGTCCCTCTATCTCCCAATATGGCTGCCTTTAGGCGATCCCTTAGGACTCATCTTTTCAGGGAAGCCTATCCCACCTCAATCATCACGTTCTGAAACAATTCATCCCCAGACAGCTACATCCTCATGTATCCCTGGCCCCTCCCTTTTAGATTGTAAGCCCTCAGGGGCAGGGCCCTCCTTACCATCTTGTCTTGAATTGTATTGTAATGTCTTCCTTATATTGTACAGCGTTGCGCAAACTGTTGGCGCTCTATAAATCCTGTATAATAATAATATAAAATGCAGATCAGAGATTTTACCTACCTATTTTTTATGCCCAAGTGCATGAGCCCGTGAAACACACCAAAAAAACCCAAATTGAATTGTCTTTTTTTATGAAATCCCTCCTCCGCGATTGCAGTGTGGAGCCAGAACAATACAATTCTTTCATGAATCAGTCATCAATGGGATACCCTATATTTTTTGTTATTATGTGCCATGTGCACTGAGCTGCATTAATCAACGCATTCCCAATGCAAGGACGCAGAGTAAAGATTTGCTCTCGCCGCGGCGATGTTGTGCATAGAGTTGAATGAAGTGTCATTTTGTGATACTTCAATAAAGTTTAAAAAAAATAGAAAAAAGTAAACGGTGTGAGGTGTTATGACAACGCGTTGCACCACCCTTAAACAGCGCACATCAGCGCATGCAGATTATATGGAGCTTAACCCTTTGCCGTCCACCCATTGTAAAAAAAACAAAAAAAAACGGGCGGATGGTGGGTGGTTCCTGGTGGGTGGACGATGTTTTTTTCTGCTCGCACGTGCAGATTACCGCCGGGAATGCGAACATCCGTTTCCGGCTGTTACATAGAAACGTTCGGCCAGCCGATCGCTTGTATAACGATGCACAGTGTGGGGCCTCCCCCCCCCCCCCCCCCCCCCCCTCGTCGCCGGGCACCGATTCCCCACCGCTGATTTCTCCTCCATCTCTCTCTAAAGGCCGAAGCGATGTCTATTACATCACTTCCACCTTTAGTTGTAATTTCTCTGGCTGAGAGCCAGAGAAGAAGCTGATGAAGCCGATCTGTGCTTCATCACCTTCTTGGGGTCCCCAGGTGACATTGCATAATGTCTGATGTCTGCATAAAGAGGACCTGTTATTGAATTTTGGCTATCCCATAGGGGGATTTTTAGTCCCCTATGTGATAGCAATAAAGTTAAGTGTAAAAAAAGTTTAAAAAAAAGAAAGAATATTAAAAAATAAATAAAAAAAACAGCAAAAAAAGTCCCCTGCGTGCACGTACTTATAAACGTGAATACACGTTGGGTGCACCTACGCCACACATGTTACATATCGCCGCAAACGTCGCAGTGTGAGCAATCATTTTAGGGCCATCAATCACTGATAACACTAAACTGATGAGTGGTAAAAGCTTTCAAAGTGTTGCCTATGGCCAATTTTAGGCATAGTAGTTTTTTGCGGTTTCGCAAGTGCACGCAATTTTAAAGCATTACATGTTTGGTGTCTATTTACCCAACGTGACCCCGTCTTTTATATTTTACCAAAAAATTGGGCGCTAATAAATGTTTAATAACATAATGTAGGGAAAACTGTTTTTTTTTTTTTTTTCATATAGTAAAATAGTATTTTATATAAAACCCCCAGTGATGATTAAATACCACCAAAAGAAAGCTCTATGTGTCCCCATAAAATGGTATAAAATTCATTTCAGTACAGCGTTGCATGACGGAATAAATGTCAATCAAAAGTACTGCAGCGCTGCATACTGAAAAATGGCCTGGCCAGGAAGGGGATTTAACACCCCGGTCAGCAAATGGTTAACGTGCGTCAGCTGGTGTGAACAAGCCCCAAAATTCTGTCATTTCTGAAGTAAGGGGCCAGTAATACTCTTATATGAACCAAAAGTGCGGCCTTGTTTTATGAAAAGTGGGCTAGCCGAGAGAAAAATTTCTTGTTGCTCATAGCAACCAATCAGCTTCTAAGCAATACATTTTATTTCACGTTAATATAGGAAATGAATCCTGATTGGTTGCTGCGAACAAGAAGTAATTATCCCCTTCATCTGCCTTTCATACATCAGCCCCACAATGTGTTCCCCCGAGCTGCATAAATGTAAATAAAGTCTTAAAGGCCCTGATATAACAATTTGAATAAAATAAATGCAAATGATAAAAGCCCTTGTAATTATAGCTCTTCACTAATACAATCGTTACCTCACTGTGCGACAATCAGAAGGCAAAAACAAAGACTCATTGGGGGGAATTTATCAAAACTGGAGCAGAGAGAATCTGGAGCAGTTGCCCCTAACAACCAATCAGCTTCTCTCATTAGCTGGTTCTGTTAAGCTTTGAAAATGAAAGGTAGAAGCTGATTGGTTGCTATGCACAGCTGCTCCAGCTTTAGAAAATCCCCCTCATTGTTTTGTTGTTATGTCTAGCTGTCCCCCCTGGAGTGCATTTCCCCACCGCTGATTTCTCCTCCATCTCTCTCTAAAGGCCGAAGCGATGTCTATTACATCACTTCCACCTTTAGTTGTAATTTCTCTGGCTGAGAGCCAGAGAAGAAGCTGATGAAGCCGATCTGTGCTTCATCACCTTCTTGGGGTCCCCAGGTGACATTGCATAATGTCTGATGTCTGCATAAAGAGGACCTGTTATTGAATTTTGGCTATCCCATAGGGGGATTTTTAGTCCCCTATGTGATAGCAATAAAGTTAAGTGTAAAAAAAGTTTAAAAAAAAGAAAGAATATTAAAAAATAAATAAAAAAAACAGCAAAAAAAGTCCCCTGCGTGCACGTACTTATAAACGTGAATACACGTTGGGTGCACCTACGCCACACATGTTACATATCGCCGCAAACGTCGCAGTGTGAGCAATCATTTTAGGGCCATCAATCACTGATAACACTAAACTGATGAGTGGTAAAAGCTTTCAAAGTGTTGCCTATGGCCAATTTTAGGCATAGTAGTTTTTTGCGGTTTCGCAAGTGCACGCAATTTTAAAGCATTACATGTTTGGTGTCTATTTACCCAACGTGACCCCGTCTTTTATATTTTACCAAAAAATTGGGCGCTAATAAATGTTTAATAACATAATGTAGGGAAAACTGTTTTTTTTTTTTTTTTTCATATAGTAAAATAGTATTTTATATAAAACCCCCAGTGATGATTAAATACCACCAAAAGAAAGCTCTATGTGTCCCCATAAAATGGTATAAAATTCATTTCAGTACAGCGTTGCATGACGGAATAAATGTCAATCAAAAGTACTGCAGCGCTGCATACTGAAAAATGGCCTGGCCAGGAAGGGGATTTAACACCCCGGTCAGCAAATGGTTAACGTGCGTCAGCTGGTGTGAACAAGCCCCAAAATTCTGTCATTTCTGAAGTAAGGGGCCAGTAATACTCTTATATGAACCAAAAGTGCGGCCTTGTTTTATGAAAAGTGGGCTAGCCGAGAGAAAAATTTCTTGTTGCTCATAGCAACCAATCAGCTTCTAAGCAATACATTTTATTTCACGTTAATATAGGAAATGAATCCTGATTGGTTGCTGCGAACAAGAAGTAATTATCCCCTTCATCTGCCTTTCATACATCAGCCCCACAATGTGTTCCCCCGAGCTGCATAAATGTAAATAAAGTCTTAAAGGCCCTGATATAACAATTTGAATAAAATAAATGCAAATGATAAAAGCCCTTGTAATTATAGCTCTTCACTAATACAATCGTTACCTCACTGTGCGACAATCAGAAGGCAAAAACAAAGACTCATTGGGGGGAATTTATCAAAACTGGAGCAGAGAGAATCTGGAGCAGTTGCCCCTAACAACCAATCAGCTTCTCTCATTAGCTGGTTCTGTTAAGCTTTGAAAATGAAAGGTAGAAGCTGATTGGTTGCTATGCACAGCTGCTCCAGCTTTAGAAAATCCCCCTCATTGTTTTGTTGTTATGTCTGCTTTACAGTAGCCATTTTGTTGGTGATTAGTACATGTGTGTGAATTAAACATGGTCTTCAAGGACATGTCTGCTGCTCCAAAAGCGAACACTCAGTGTAGGAGACACCCTAAAGTCGTAGAAGGGAATTGATCAAAACTGGAGCAGACAAATTCTAGAGCAGACTTGCACGGCAACCAATCAGCTTCTCTGTCTCATTTTCAAATCTTACTTGAGCAAACTGAAGAGAGATGCCAATTGGTTGCCATGGGCAACTGCTTCAGTTTCTGCCTGCTCCAGCTTTAATAACTCCCCCTATTGTCTGTCTCAAGGGCTTGGCAAACTCCAGCCCTCCAGCTGTGGTGAAACTACAAATCCCATGAGGCATTGGAAGACTCTGACAGCCACAGGCATGACTTCCAGAGGCAGATATATGATGGCATTTGTTGTTGCACCACAGCTGGAGTTTGCTGA